ATTATGAACCTGCTTTGTACGAGACGGCTAGCCGATCGGGATTTTATATATGATAATGCGCATTAGGTAACCTTGTCCGGATAGAGTGACATGTCTACGCAGACTTCTGACTTCGAGTCGCAGACTTTACTCTAACTCTTAAATACCGTGTTCTCAGTAAGCGGGGAAGCACCAAAAATCGATTCGCAAGTCTTTATTTTGACCCGGTTGGAAATATACAATTAAACGAGAAAATTTGAAAAGTCTTCGTACCCATGAGAAAATGTGTACAGTATCTTATTTAGTGTTTCTAAGACTTACTAGTAGTATGTATGCCACAGTCAGTACTATCAAAAAGAAATCCCTTTTTAATAGATATAAGAAGATGTGGTATGAGTGCCAATGAGACAACTATCCATCCAAGTCAAAATTTATAAAAGTGAACCATTATAGGTCAAAGTACGGTCTTCAACACGGAGCCTTGGCTCATACCGAACAGCAAGCTATAAAGGGCCCCAAAATTACTAGTGTATAACCATTCAAACGGGAAAACCAACGGTCTAATCTATATAAAAAACGAGAAACGAGAAATACTTATGAACCACATCAACAAACGACAACTACTGAACATCAGATTCCTGACTTAGGACAGGTGCAAACAATTGCAGCGGGTTTAAACGTTTTAATGGTACCAAACATTCACCCTTATCTGAAACAATAGTGTTACATCACAACATAGAAAAACACACTATAAAATATCAATTGCAATGGCTTAACTCAATCAAAAGACATATTAACACCGGTGAACATAAAGCACGGATAAAAATTTGACGACCAATTTATATAGAGTGTCATAGGCTGAGAATGATATAAAGAGGGGTAGGTTGGTCTATGAAGCAGCATAACTTTAACGGTCATATATAGGCTCCCACTTCAACTCTGGTTGAGTGTTGTCTCATTGGCAATCCTACCACATCTTCTCAGTTTTATATCATATGATCCCAATTAAGAATTTGAAATCTGTTTCAATTTGACGATATATAGATAATTACTTTGAATGCTTTGGTCTTTTCGATTGTTCCTTGTGTTGCGATAGCGCTTTTATACATTTGCCATCAAAATGCACTTTATGTTTTATGTTAAAAAAAAGTAGGCGATATTCCCACCACAACAATAATCAGCATGTATCTGCATTATGCAAAATAACTTAAAAGTGAACCGTAAAACACCGACAGAAATTAACGTTTTAAATTTTCGCGTGTGTTTTAAATGCATGAACAGAAAATGAAAAATAATATTTTAACGATCCTATTTCTAATGATAGACAGGACCGAAAATTAAAACAATATTCCAGGTATTGTTTAGTTTATTTTCATCAAGATGTTCAAAATATAAATGTCTGTAATTGTCTGATTTCAGGATGATTGATAATTTACAAACAACCAGATTGTACGCAGCTGGCTTTGTTATCAAAATCTGTACAACTGTTTTAAAGAATTGATTGATTATTACAAGAATGGTCCATCCATCTTCTTGTTGCCACTTGAGAAATTTGCTGTAATAATGATTATATGTTCGTTTCATGTATTTTGGAGGTCTTCTGTCATTAAGTGTGTCTTGTGTATATATTATGCATTTGAAACCCCTTTGTGAAATACTCCTGAAGAATGCTTGAATACGTTGTTTTCTTTTTAATTTTGGGAGGATTGGGATTGGTATTTTTTTCTTTTTTTTTCTTTTTTACAAAATCAATTTTATAAATGAGCAACAAAGTGTCAGTTTCAGTTAAGAATTAAAGTTTAATTAATCACTTAATGGATTATGTTACAAGACGGAAAGGATTACCTAATCCTATTTTAACATGTTGGTGACATTTTAATGGATATTTATACAACGTGGGAAAATATTATCGATAGTCTTAAATTGAACAAGATGGCATTTACAGTATATTGTAAAAATAATGTTATCTGATAGCATAATTGGAATTTAATGGTAATCATGAAACTGTAAATATGATAAGTTCTCTTGACATAACCACATAGTCAAGAACAGTCTTGCAAAAACAGCACTGAAATAACGCTAGCATCGTTTTAATTTGATTTCACAACGGGTATATCTCGACTCATTCAAATAAATTTATACAAAACTGTCGCCTTTGGTCTATACATCTGCCAAACTACCCTGAAGAACTTATCATCCCTTTTATATTACATAACTCATAATCCAATAATTCTGTTATATCGCACATTCCAAATAAACTATTGTAATATACCCGGTTTGGTGTAAAATGATATCGGCTTCTGTGTGATAAATCTATTTGTTCAATTTATCTATATTTTAGTGATATATGTAGGGAAATCAACAGTATACTCTAAAATTTATCACAGGAAAGTTGACGTGTTTGTCGACAGAAACCTGAGGCAGATTTGTAGCGTTAACCACGTTCGTTAGCATTTTTTTAAGCTGAAAAGTGGAAGGCAGTCTTAAAATCGGTTATAACTTCCCTGCAAAGCACGCGACAATTCAAAGTCCGTTCTATTCATGGTTGGGTAATGTGTAGGGAACCTTGTTCAATCAAAATTGCACTTCGCTCGCCGTTTACGATAAAGTGTCCAGGAAATGTCATTTTCAAATTAATCATTAAAAATTCACACCTGTTCACATATCTTAATTGTATATAACATGCAGTCATTTTTGAATTGAAAACTTCGGACAATCATATTAACTAGAAAAAAAGTATTAACAAAAAAACCGAATTCCAATAATTAAAAAAAAAGGGGGAAGCTCATAAAACCAGTCAAAATCAAACGCTTGGAAAACAATTGTCATATTCCTGACATTTTCTTAATATTATTTGAACAGTTCCTAAAAACAGGCATATCGTTTGAATTGCTTTACACCATATGTCGGGGCGTCTTATAGCTTGCTAAGTTGTATGGGTTTTGTTCATTCTTGGAGGTCATACGGTGACCTTTAAATAAATAGTTGCCAACTTATAGTCAATAGGTTACTGGTGGAGAGTTGTCTCATTGGCAATCATACCACTACTTCTAATTTTTAAATAAGTCTCATTTCATACTTTTATCGTTTGATACACGGCCCCTAAAGTTGATAGCTACTGTTATCGTGGGGGGAATGTGTGGTCTCAAATGTATATGTGGTCTCAAATGTATATGTACCGTTAAAACAATTTATACGGAAATGACAATAGCATGATCCAATGTTGTATTTCTCAGACCTTTTCTGATATTTTACATAATACGTCCAAATTCCGCCTGGCCGTGACTTCACCACAGCTTGGGTTTTACTGTCGATGCAAAAGTCCAGGAACGTCACTATTACTATACCCCAGTGAACCCAGAAATAAATGACCAGGAACAAGGAATAGGTTTTACCTTTTGTATTGAACAGTTTCCAATTCATATTTTGAAAAATCTTTGGTCGCTTTTAATACGCTAACGAATTATGAAACCCGTGAAGGAAGAGTTAAACTTAGGTTTATGAATTACACGAAGGACATACCATTGTAATTATGGAGTCTTAAATAATTATGAATAGTTATCATACGATACATTTATCACTTTACATGCTTTTTTTTTTTATTTTCCGTTGGTAATAATTTGATAAAACATTATATTATTTGCATCTGGAATCTTTCAATAGATTATGAAAATATTATTTTGGTAATTGGTAATTAAAGCGTATTTGGTTTCGTTGTTTTCATGCAGAAACAAGCGAAACGTCTAGATGAAAGAGAAAATATGCATGTTTCTTCATCTGTTCAAAGATTTCAAATGTTAATCTTTATTTTAAATAACGTGCAGACAGCCAGAATTTATAGTGCATTTGCCAGAAATGTAATCTAAAAAGCCAATGAGTTCGCAAGCATTTATTAAATAACGATAAAATTTCAAAATTAATAAGTCACGACGAAAATTCGACATTTACCAACAAGTGCCCTTTATTTCGTAAATAACTGATTATATTTTGGAACACAATTCTCGTACAATGTTTCATCTTATTTTGAGTCGTTACTTATTTCATTTTCCCCTGTATTTTGCAAGTGTTTTCGATTGATGCTATAAAAATTGCATTTAAAACTTTAATATTTCAGTATAAAATTTTTCTCACATTCGAAAATTATCTTTTTTGTGTTTGTTAAATTGCTCTAATGGCGTTATTATGAATGTTACATAGTCCAGTTTATTCATGATAATTGAAAATTCGTTTAGGCGTTATGATAATACAGTTATCATATCATATTTACTATCCTAGGTCTTGATGTTTTCAATAACTTAATAATGTAAGTTTCAAAATATTTTAATAAAATGAATTCACACCTTTCTTTTAATACAATTTCAATGATTAAAATTTACTTAGACGTATTTCATTAACATTGAAGTTTGAAAAAGGGGTACTTGAAATATTGCTTTATAAATTTCAAGATGGTTTATATCAGTGTAGAGTACCAATAGCACCTCAATTAGGAACCCATATCACCGATTCAATTAAAATTAAAAATTAGAAGCCTTCAACATACAGAATATTTATTGGGTATGACAAAAATAATTAAAAACAAGGACAAAAGTATAATAGAATTTTGGATGACATAAGTCTGTACCGAAAAATCTTGTTATAGCAGCAAAAAAAAAAACCTTTTGGAAAAATTTATGTGAAAGAATAGAGGAGACACTGTATAAGATTTTTTTTATATTTTCTACAAATAGTCTACGTGTAGTTTAGAAATGTATCAAAATCCATGATAAAACGTCAATAATCCAAACTGCATAAAAATTCAAAATGTTTCTCTCAATGTACTACAAGATAAACATTCTCTCCAACAAATAAAATCTTCGATACGCGTTCAGAAGTATATTTTCAAGAGAGAAAATTCTTTACTTTTTAATATTTTTTATGAAGACGATCGTTTTGTTAAAATACATACCGGTCTTTTGTGATTAAAAATAGATTGATACATATATAGCATTTAAATATATAGTAATGCAAAAAAGTCAACTTACCACCAAGACGGTTGGACTGTTTTTATTAGAAAAATAAAGAAAAAAAGAATTCTCTGGAAGTCTTGTAGTTTTGGCCTCATTTTTCCATTCACACGAGCACATTAAGTTATTGTTTTCATAAATATTCACATTTTTGTTCTTTAAGTCATTTAATCAAGACATGTTTCCAGTATATCACATACGCTTATTTAAATAAAATCTAAAAATCCTTTTCACTAATAGGCTGCAATCCTCAATTTGGAAAACGGTATATTTCAAAAATGTGTCTATGCAGTATATTACTTATGTATATATCACTAATGTCCTATCTATATATTTCTTTGAATAAATAGTCAAATACTATATTTTTTCAGTTATTCAAGTCCTTAAGACAAATAATGCTGAACAACGACAAAGGTTCTAACTAATCCACTTTGATCGTCTTGAAACGGACACTTTTGATTGGTTATAACAATCCCATAAATCCAACGTGTAAAATGTACATAAAACTTTCGCCTGTGATATAACAAACTTTAACTTTGATGTTAAATAAAGGTTTAAATTATCGGAAGTTTTGAAGGATCACTAATTGATATTGGTACTACCAGTACATATATTACTCACTGGCTGTCAAAGAGTGAGTAGTAAACTACTCTAAAATTAAAGTAATATTTAAGCCATACGACTGGCGCATGTCCGTTTCAAATGAAATAGCTGGAACGCCAATGTTTTTATTAGAATTAGGGAAAGTCTGATAACGCACTCTAGCGAAAGCCTTAACCGTATTAAAAAGACAATCTGATTTAACAAGATTAAAACTCGGCGTTAGAGTCGTGTATGTTTATTTTAAATTTTCTACCCTTTATACCCCGCTAAGATAAGTAATTACGCTTTGACAAGATAAACTATTTCAACCTGGTTGATGAGTGATTGTAGCGTCGGTACCCTTAGTAATTTGTAAACCCAATCATGTAGTTTAGTGGTATCAGATAAGTTAATTATCTTTATTTCGACAATTAACCACAACTGATAAATAACAAACATTTCATGTCCTCACAATTTTGAGAAAATTCAGTGAAACTTTTAAGTATAAATCAGCTGAGCTTTTGTATCGGATTACATTACGGATGCATTTTTATGAATTATTGAGTTTGTTTCTGTTTAGTACGTTTTAAATATGTACAAAAGTTAAAAGACCAAAATCATGGGAAGAAACGAGAAATAACTTTTAGCAAAAGTCATAGTTCTCCGACTTTATAGCATATCAACTGATTGAGCAAAATATTAAAGATAATTTTTAAGACGGGATATAAAAATTGAAATGTTAAACCAAAACAAAAAACTCATTCAAGAAACGTAAACTTGTCATTATGTCTTTCTTAAATGTTCACATATGCCGTATCCCTTTACCTAGACATGATGTATAGGGTTTATTTATTTCTTTTATCTCTAATCGTGATTTGCTATAATTCTTTTTCTGTTTGGTCTTAGTTCTTTTTTTTTTTTATTTTGATAACAACTTTTGAACAATTATTTTGAATATAATAAGACTGTCTCTTTGTTCTACGTGTTAACTCATTACCTTGTGATTATAGCAATTAAATATACTACTCAGATGTCTGCAATTTCAGCCAATTTTAATTAATTGATTTTTAGTGATGTGTAAATACAAAATTAAATTGATAAAACACCTTGTATTCCCAACAAACACATTTGCAAATTTTGTACACACGAACAGACATTTATAGTACTATATATGTCTCATATACGTTTATTATACATAATTGAGACAGCTACCCAACGCCGCACCCCCCCCCCCCCCCCCCCCCCCAATAAGAAATGCACAGTAATGATTGCGTGCTATTTATTTATATGGTAGTGTCCTTGTAAAATAACTTGGAAGGATAAATAAAGGACAGTATGTAAATAGTGTAACATGAAACGCTAATTAATCAACGATATTTAATAAGACCAAACTCAAAATATGTATAGATATATATATAGTGGTATTACTCTGAAGTTAAAACTATGTTAACAATTTGGTTTTATGTAAATTTCACATAACTGCCAACTTTCCTTCAATTGTGCCCAATTATCCAGATAAAAATATCAGGTTTTTGTGATTTTTAATCGGTATCATCCTTGTGCAAATTAAACTATTTAAGAGATAATTTAACTACCACTATATTTATACAAATTCTTCCACTTCATTGAGTGTAAACAAGACAAGACTATTTCACTATCATCGATATCTGATTCCACAATGCACATCTGTCGACATGCATTCATGCATTTCGTTTAGTTTGAGCCGTTAAATGAAGAAAACAACTTTCTGTAGATATAATTGATTAACGCATCGGATAACAGGAGTCACCAAAGATATTTGACAGTAAAACAGATCACACCAAAACCCGACTCCCCAATGCTCAAACAAAAACAAACAACACACATAACACATGCATGGCACAGATAACCTGGCTTGGCCATACATTATAAGCACTTTAGTTTCACTGTTTATTCAAAATACACTCAGACGCAGATTTCCTGCGTAACAGGAGCGACAAATACACATAAATTTACAAATAACATAGAAGCGAAATGAGTAAAATACATAAAATAAAACAATATAAATATTTTTTTTTACAAAACTAAAAGTATACTACATCTATTGATCAGATCGCAAAAAGTCGGTGCAATCTGTAAAGTTTAAATAACCACGTTATCACATGAACACAATAAAATGATATTTGGATAGTAACAAAAAGTGTAACTTATATAAATATTCATATGTGATGATTTACAGAGAAAGCAGTAGTTTTTCAACCTTTTGAATGAAAATAGAAAGGTTAGTTAATACATTTAAGTTGCAATATTTCAACATTCCATAAAGTTTGTTGATATTTGGGTTGATTCTGTAGTAGTTAGGAATATATGCATTTCTTACTTCAATAATATCAGTATTGTTACAAAGCGCTATGTAATGATACTCATCTCCAAGACCAGTCTTACAAAGCTTACATTTTCTTTCAATTTCTGGAATTCTATTCCATCTCCCCGTTTCGATAGGAAATTTGATATTGCAAGTGCGAAGTTTGCAAATATAAAGTCTACTAAATTTTCTAAGTCTAATTAGATAGGGTTCCATACAGAAGTCAGTCTTAAATTTTGAATAGAACTTCCCCCTTGATGAGTTATCGATATACGAAAACCATTTTTGTATGAACTGGTCAAAAAAAAATTCAAATTAACGTTTCCTTGTACATGCCAGATTTCACTGTTACCAGAGAAGCATTAAGTGTGTAAAATCACATAGTTTCAATGTTACCAGAGAAGCATTAAGTGTGTAAAATCACATAGTTTCTTTTTTTTATAAGAATTTAATTACTGATTATTTCAATATAAACTAAGGGAGTTAGTGATTTAACTTAAGCTAAATTGCTACATAAATAAAAGAAAATGGCAGAAGCCGCAAACACGTCTACCCCTGTCTGTTCAAAGCAATGAATAAGACATTTATTACTTTTTTTTTATAGATTTTAGGCTGCTTTCATTAGGTGAATTGTCCCCGGCCGCAACAAGGTGCGAGGGACATAGAAATTCCGGGTGTCCGTGCGTGCGTCAGTCCGTCCGGTCTTGCTTCTAACGCGTACAATCTTGCCTGATTTTTAAGAAATCAATACCAAAAGAGTATATTAGCAATGTTTCGAACAATTTTGAATCTCAGTGCCGATTACTTCATATCTACTTTTAAATGAGTTGTGCCATTGGGAATGTTAATTATATTGAAAATTGCAATGTAAGCGTTCTCAAATCTCCTTTTCATGTCTGATTTTTATGAAATTTATTCAAAGGTCTATATCAGCAATGTCTCGGACAAGTTCGAAAATAAGCTCTGATCAATTATTTTTACAGGTTAATGTCCCTTGGAATGTAAATTCTATTGGAAATTGCATTATAAGCGTTCTCAAATCTCCCTTTTATTGTCTTGTTTTTATTTTGAAATCTCTACTAAAGGTTTGCATCAGCAATTTCTTGAGCGAGTTCGAAAATCAGTGCCGATCAACAATTTTTGCGAGAGTAACGCCACTGAAAATAGAAATTATGATATAGAAAATTGCAGTGTAAGATATATCACGCCTACATTACTTGTAGGATATTTATGAAAAAGTTTAAAATAAGACATAATAGGACATTAGACATTTAATTTCACTAAATCCCCCACATGAGGTATGTTAGTACAAAAAATGTACAACATTTTAACAAACAATAAAAATGTGAACATATTTACATGAGAACAACATGGTAAACAAAGCTGTGCAATAATAGTATATATATAATGAATACTGATACAGGAAGTGCAGATTATAGTAACATGATTAAGCACATGTATTTAAAGGTTTTAATAACACTTTTGCAAAATTTTGCTCTTCCTTTAAGTGTAAATAAATCTTATGTATTCATCAGTTTCTTAAATTTTAAATATTTGGGTTATTACATATATTTAAAGGTAACAATTTAGCTCTTGCATTGTTGAAAAAGGTTCATTTGAATAAGTAATGAAACTCAAAACAAAAATCAGATTTGTATATTCTATAATTGAGAAATTTTACAGAATTCATAACATTATCACTCCATGCAGTTCAGCATAAATTTTTAACACCCAAACATTTCTTTATATTCTTACAGGAACATATATATTGACTACGATATACTGTTCCCAGATTCTTATTAATATTATCAGATTTAGCAAAGAACAACAAACAAAAAAAAATATTAGAGTTATTGCTCTTAGGCAGATAGAATATTTGTATATTACATATGGTTTTATTTTTCTTGTTTCTCATTGGTTTATTTGGTCACGTGTTCCCCAATATATACTTTTGTACTTTTTCACTATTTTGACATATTGACTCGACGTTACTATTTTTTAGAATGGTATTGACTCCATGCCTCTAAAATAGTCACATCGAGTCATTATAATTTTCAAGCTTAAGTACCCTATTTATTTATGTAATATATAGAATAAGGACTTTCACTCAGTCAATTAATACGTTACTATATATATATATATATTTCTTAACATTTCTTAACATTCTTACTAATATTATCAGATTTAGCAAAGAACAAACAAACAAACAAACTCTATTAGAGTAATTGCTCTTAGACAGATAGAATATTTGTATATTACATATGGTTTTATATATTTATTAACATTTCTTAACATTCTTACTAATATTATCAGATGTAGCAAAGAACAAACACACAATATATATGAATTCGTGATGGTGACCGTAAAACTTATGCTGTATTAATATATTCCTGTCAAAACAATTTAAATAAGGTTAAAACGGGAAGAACAAAATTGAATTTTAGATCTTATTTTGAAACATACACTTGTGGATGTATGTGTAATTTTACATTATTTGTGGAAGTGCACAATTTGTCTAAAATCATGGAAGTATATATTACTTCCATGCTATAATTAAACGGGAATGTTTATTTTTAGCATGGAAGTAATATTACTTCCATGTTTTAGCAATCCCATATCTAAAATTTCTCTGAAAATTTAAGCTTCTGTGCAAAGGGAGCTATATTAAGTATACTATCTACGGTGTCTTATCGCCAGCTGATGGTGCTATATCAGCAGATGTCTT